CTCCTTAATAGGCTTATTCCACTCTTATTTTTTTATGCACAAATAATGTTCTCTCTCTCTTTAATAATTTGATTTTGTCATTTAAAAAAATGTGTTTAACAAAATATATTATTATTACATAAAAAATTCATCTCCTTGTTATAACTTTTATATGATAAAATATTTTTTACGTTATAATGCTACAAAATGATGAAATTTTTTATTTTAAATTTGTATAAATTTCAATATTTTCATAATATCAAAATCACTGTTAAATTCGTAATATCAAATTATACCAATTTGAGATGTTTTTAATCACTTTTATATAATAGATTACCATTGCTCCTACTCAATATGTCGTTAATTTAACTAGAATGATAGAGTTAAATAATTTAATTCAAGAATTACTATAAGAAAAAGGCTGAAATAATTTATAAAATTAATAATTTATAAAATTAATAATAAATATAGGGCTATAAACCAAGCAAGCTCTTAATGCTGAGTTATTATAAAAAAATTTATTATAAAACAAAAGTTTATTATAATAAACACTGTTTGATGACCATCATGCACTATAACGTATCTACATTTTATCCGAATATTTATCACTATTTCTTCACGTTTATATATTAAATAATGCTCACAACTATCCATAATGAAATTGCATTACGATGAATTTATATTTTATTACATTTACCGTCTAAATCATCATGTGTATTGGCGAGTTATTGTTTTTCAAATGAGTCATCGATTTCAAATTGTATTAATTTCAACATTGAGAACAATGACCCAAAAGGGATCGAAACATTTATTATAATAAACTTATGTTTCATAATAATTGAGCATTAGACCTTGCTTGGCTTGTAGTCCTATACTTATTAACTCAAGAAATTAAAAAAAAAATTGACTTAAATTCAGTTTATTATTTACATTAAAATGACGATTAACCGTGATATTAGTTTGTTCTTATTTCCAATATTATTATTCTGAGGATGAAGAAAAAAATGAGAAGGATATTATATATTGTCAATTTGATAATATTTTGATAAGCTATATATTTTTCTAAATATTAAGCGAGAGAATATTATTATGTAATAATAATAATATATCTTTTAAACATTGTTTAAATGATTTTAAATGATTTTTAAACTATTCAATAAAGGAAGGATAACAGTTGGAATAATCTGTGCATTAAAAAATGAGAATGAAATAGACCTATTGAGGAAATCACTATAAAAAAAGCGCAGAATGCTATCTCTCTAAGGTGCACATGTGAAAATGATGAAATAGCATTTTATCATTTTCTTGTAGAAATCTATTTACAAGTAATTTTATAATAAAATTATCTCTATCTATCATTAATAATATTTTTAAAAATTACGTGAGGTACGTGAGGTAGGGATATTCGATATTCCTTACTGATATTCGAGCCGGTAGGTGCAGATCAAAATATATGATCTCCGAAAATAACATGCGTGAAAGCTTCATTTATTCATCTGATCGAATTACAAACAATTTGTAAAGTTTTTCGATATATCACGGTGTAAGAGAAAAACAAATTTTTCATTAATACTCATTGGCTTGTAGCTGTAATGGCGGACTCGCGCCGTTCCTTTATTTCCTTTAATAAGTCTTCTATTTTTAATAAAACAGCGACAAAGTAATCTCAGATCTTGCGATCGAAGAGTTATGGGCATTTACTTTATAAAAAAGGTTTGAGCTAACAGAATACTCCCGCAATGAACAATATGGTTTGTGGCATAATAATTAACTTGATTCTCCAACATCATTCCGTTTTACTTTAAGGTAGATTCTTCTATTATTCAAGTCTATTATTCAAGAGGTTACCTTAATCTCGTTGATGCGTTGATAAATACGTTTACGGGCGTCACATTAACATCGAGCCGTTTCAGCCACCTCTCTATTAATCCTCGTACCGTAATTTGTGCACATTAACACCGAAGTAATCTTCATCATACTATCAAACGCGTCTTAGAGGGCGAACAACCGGTTATTGCGGAAGCTCCAATGAAGAGGATTGCATAAGGATACGATGCTAATATCACAAATGTATTTCATCCGTTAGTGCGCAATTCATTTCAAATTCATGATTTCAGCAAAAATAAAAATGGTAATTTAAAAAAACTTTTTTCTACCTACAATCAGTGTAAAAAAATATTCGTATAGGAGGGATACTTTTCTCAAAAAAATCTTATTTTTAGAAAGTAAACATTAATTGCCAATTTATTAACAAAGAATAAAATAGATTACATATTTATCATAATGATTTTACCTACAAAGATGTAATAATTAAAAAATATATTATCTTAATAAAATAAGCGAAAATAAAATATTATATTATTTGGATGCAGAAAAAGTATTTATATTCAATCGATAAATTTCTAAATAATATAAATAAGGTTCTAAAAATCATGAATATTATTTTTATGAAACTCTTTAATATATGCATTATTAATAAATTGCTATTATAATTAAATAATTAATGTTTGTTTTTTACAAATAAGATTTTTTAAAATAAAAATCCCTTCTTCATGAATATTTTTATTATACGTATTTCTTTTCTTTATAAAGGGCTTTATAGAAATTTTTCTTCGCTAACCATTTTAGTTAGTTTGATACTGTTTACAAATGCGCTCGGTAACAGGCAGTCCATTGATAATTTCTTTTGCGGAACATTTCTTCTGAGGAACGCAAGTATCTGCAAAAGAAGAATTGGCGGAAGCATTAGCGACAGAAAAGTTATCGACAGGAGAAGTACTTGTGATAGAAAAGTTATCGACAGGAAAAGTATTTGTGATAGAAAAGTTATCAATCTTTGCATCTTTTTCAAATATAGTAGAATTTCTTCTATCTGCATTCTATTTATGCAGATAAGTTTATGCTTAAATTATTAGATCTTAATATCCAAACTGATAATTAAGCCTAGTGGCGCCATAGTTCGGATAATAGAAGCTCGACGTGCTCAAAAGAATTTTCTAAACGTCAGCTTCTATTATCAGAACTAATAAATATTGATAGAGAGGAGAATTAGTAAACCTCTGATATCTGAACTATTCGGTTTTCGAACTTTGTCTTGTTTTCCAAATAAACGAAATAATTTTATTACTGTACAGGATGAAAACAAATCTATGATACAACTGGATGAGAGAAGTTCTTTCTTGTATAAAAATAAATTTAAAGTGTAGAATAAGTTTTTTGTCTGAGGCTTTGATTTGAGAAAATTAAATCGTGTAGAGCACACGTGCACTTAATGAAGATGCGATTTACAGAAAGATATTGAAAATCTATGATCAGAATCTATATGGTATTTGCGTACCATAACGTACATTTAACGAGCACACAACTTTGCTTATGATAGCAGAGATAACATTTTTTTTAATTATTTATCACATTTTCTTTAATCCTGCTATTTGTCGTAAGTTGTGTGAACGTTATATAAACATGAAATTTATTATGTCTTTTCACAAACTGTGATTGTATCTTTATTAAGTGTACGTATTCAACGCGATTTTCAAACTTAATTTTTTCTAAAACAAAACCTTGAAAGAAAAAGATTTACTAACTTATTTTCTAACTTACTTTTCTACAAATTACCTTTTGTCGGATTCTGTCTATATAATTCTCATCTTGTATATTATATTTGTTAGTTTAAAAAATATGTGCCCTGTACGAATATATACTTAAAGTACTGTTTTTTAATTAAAGAACAATTTTTTAAATTCACCTAAATGTTACTTTGCCTCGAGCTTAAAATAATTATAAATCGCTCTATCATTATTCTTTAATTCAGATCCGTAAAACTTAATAAAAGTTAAATATATTTGTTTCTTTAATTATTGACTCCCATACAAGATACATAATTGATAATATCTTTATACAACGCAAAAATATTTTATTTCTTTTAAATATTTTACTGTATGTATGAGAAGTTGTATCCTTCTTCCGCGTAGTCCTTATTTGCAGACCGACTTATACACGTTCACATCCCGGCGGAACGATCCCTTCTCAGATTACTGCTACCCTGCACCATAATATGCATAGATAATGATATCTGCGTTACTTTAGCAATTCTGCCGTGCTGTGCCGTGTTCGAAAATACAAGGTTGATATTTCTTCGAGTATCTCGTGACAGAAGGTCGATCGATAGTATATGATAACTTTTTCATGCAACGTGGACCATGCTCGAATGCTTGTCTTGCGTTGATTCAAGTAGAGCTTCTCAAAACACCGCTGCAAGGTGTGGACGAGCTATCTATTTGCACGGCTCATGGATATACATATAAAGCAACTCGATTAAAATTTAAGTCGATTGGAAGGAAATATCTTTTATGTTTGATGAGAGAGACACTACGCTGTACTTTCTCGTTACGAGAATTCTCAATTTGCGAAAACAGATTCAAGGCGAGTCTATGTATATCTTAGGAAACGTTCAATAAAAACAAAGTCTTATGTTACAAAAACAAAATAGCTTGTTGCAGTACTAACGTTACTTATAAGAACACATTATATTGTTTAATGAAAACAATAACGCAAGGACGAAGATAATTTTTCTTTTATAGTTTTTTGGACGCTGAGCAAACGATTCCATTTACCAAACTGTTTTTTCATACAATTTTTAAGAAATTTATAGTTAAAGTTGCAAAAAGGTTTATTTTAATATATTTTGGCATATTACAAGTTATTATAATTAAAATATCTGTTGAAGAAGTTTTATTGTAATCAAAATTAAGCATTACTAGTTTTCTTAACACGATTACTCGCATGGAATGTTTCTAATATTTTAACATATCTCCATTTTCATTGTTATCTTAATGTTTACAATTAAATTAAGGATTAATAATATTACACAACTTTTAGATAAAGAAACATGCAAATTGTTTAAAATGGAACAATTTTTGCTAAATATAATATGTATAAAGTACAGGGCTAAGGTCATATATTTGAAATACTTTTATTTTAAATACAATATCTGTAATATAATTCTATTTTGTATTTCATATTTCAGCAGAGCACATAAAAGTATTTTGTATTTTGCATTTCAAATCGAAAAATTGAAAATATTTGGTATTTAAATTATTAATATTTTGTAATTTAAATATGTAATGAGATTGATTGATTGAATTTTATTATTATATTTGAAGTAGGGGAGACCGGAGCTGATTGTCGTACGAGATTGATTTTCAAAATGCTTACAATTCAATTAGTAAATTAATAATCATATTCGAAAGAGGCAATATTTTTGAACATTGTAAAAAAATGTGAGTCATATTCATATATTTATACAGATTCAGTAAAGATTTAAAAGAAAGGTAATATTTGAGGCATCTTAACAAAATGAGCTGCGTATACGTCTTTTCTTTTTATATACAAAATATTAAAAATATGGAAAAATATGAAATCATCCAACGTTACTTTTATAAATTATTTATTGCATAAACATATTGATTGTAGAAACATTTAAAAAAAGCTATTTGGCAACTTAAATCTGAATGCCTGCATTAACTTCTTCTTAAAACTACGCTTACTGATTTATTCGCAGTTTAGACAAGTAAAAGGCTTTTTATAATTGAGAGGATGGGTGGAATAAAGGCTTAATAAAAAAAGGCTTATAAAATCTTGATATTAAAAATTAAAATAACTTGCTACTTTTTTTATTATACATAAATGAATACAATATTAAATAAATTTATGTAATATCTTTAAGAAGTTATACTTGCTATAAATCTTCTCTATTACGATCAATATTACATAAAAAAACTAATTGCTAAAGGAAAAAGAGTCTAAGTAGAATTGTGTCTTTATTGTGCCCATCCTTTCAATTTTTACTTAATCCCACACAATGAACATATTTGTGACAAATGTCACTTACGTATGTGCTTGGACGTGGCTCACATTGGTATCACAATACAAAAAGTTCTTTTTCTTTAATTATAAACAAACGTTGTGACAAAAATATAAACTAAATATAATGTTGTAAAATATAAATATAGAGTAGTATACAATAATATGAACTACAGAAATTAATATCATGTTTTCATAATTATAGAAAGCAATTATTTACGGAATATTACATCACAATCACGACGTATCAATTTTTCCTGTTTTTATTCAAACAGAATGAATAATATGATTTGTGAATCAATGCAGTCGTATAGATCGAATTACTACTGTCATCTGTTAAATTAATCATATAATTATATATAACAGCGAGTGATCCACTTTGGGAAACGGCCTAAATTAGGCCCTTATTTCAAATACATGCCCAGCTCTGATAAATTACAGTATCATACATTTAGCGAATTTCTAAGGATGGAGTATTAATCCTGGACACACGAGCAATGAAGAATTGAAAACCGTCGTTAGACTTTTTTTTGAGGCAGTCCTAAGAGAAATTAAGAATAATTTGATCGTACTTAGCGTCCAAAAAGCTACGAGAAATGATTTTTTCTCGTTCTTATATTTGAAAAAAAGTTATTTTTGTGGAACAGTGTTATAGTAGTTCGCATTATATATAATTTTGCAATAATACTTAGCATGAAAAAAATATGCACGTTGCATATCCTCTTTCATGACATGTTTCTCTCCGGGGAAAGATACATTATGCTTTGCTTCGTATTTCATCATTTGTATCACTTTACGGAACCTAAATTCGGATCCTCTTTTTCAGAGGATTATGCCAATAAGATGTAAACATAACACGTCATTAATTACGTGAAATAACAAAAGAAATTCTAAGAAAACTTATCAATTGTTTAGTAGTTTATATATTAGTTTAATTTACAATTGAAATAATTTTTTCAGAGAGTACCAATGTAATTACATTTTTATAATTCTTTCTTTGTAGTCTAAAGTCGGAATTCTTCAACGATTTGCAGTTATTTCTTTGTTAAAAAAAATTTAAATTCAGATTAAAAAAATATATAAAAATAGAGAATTATATTAAATAAAGATCGAATTATACATAAAAAATATAGGATCAAAACTACATTGCGTGTGAATTTTTTTACTGGTTTTCAAGTCATTAGAAATTATGAAATTCTGCGAAATTCCGTTTTTTATACGTGACTGCAGAAAACTATAATTTTATTTCCTCAAAATTCCTGAAAGGTATACTTCATACATTTTTTCGGGTTACATACATTACATCAACTATTTTATTTTCCCTATTTCTCCACTTAAATAATACTTTAAGCGCAGCACACGAGCTAAGTCTAACTTGGCTTTCTTTTTTTCGAATATTGATTCTAGCTTCAACAAATTGTTGCTACAAAAAGAGGAACTCGAGCAGAAACATCTGCACCTGTTGCAAATTGTTGAGAGCGAGAAAACGGCCAAGTGGCAGTACACCCAGCAATGCGAGGAATTGGCGTCGGAAATAAAAAAACTCCGAGCAGAGGTTAGTCACATATGCATATTTTATATACATATATGTATTATATTCAGTTTTTTTATGAGTGAATATATATATTTTATGATACTTTTTCCCGGTAATTTTGATTCGTGCTGCGTGCACTTTTTTTATTTCAACTTCGGTAATATCTTCTGTGACATTTTATTATATAATTAGTAAAACCATTTTGTAACAAATCTTCATCATCAATTCTTGGAAAATCTCCGAATGGACTTCCGAAAACCTGAAAGTTTTGATTTTCTTATCGATTTGCAACTATATTTTGGTGTGCTGATTACGAATACAATTATGAAAATTGCTGACAAGATCATTTTCAAAGTCAAATATTAAACTATATTTTTCACATTTAACATTGAAAGTGACCGACTTTCACCTTATCTCCCCCTCTTGCCAATGAGCACACGATTTTCTACGCGAAGCGACTCTCATTAATTCTACCTTTTCTCCTCTGTCTGGGGGCGCGCGACTTAGTTATTATAACTGTATTTTAATATGTTGATAATGTATGTGACCATGAAAAATCATTGATAAGTCATTTTCAATATCAAATGTAAAAAAATATTTTTAAAAATCGGTTTTTCCAAATTTGATTTAGAAAATGACATTGTCGGCAATTTTAATGATCGTAATCAGCGCTCTAAAATACAGTTGTATGCTCGATGAATACAAAAATTAATAATTAAGCTTCAAATTGTATTTATTCAAAATTTTAACATAAAAAAAATGTAATCATATATTCATTCAAAATTTTGAATGTTTTCAAAAAATATTCATTCATAAAAAGCTATGAATATTTAACGCATTATATTCATTCAAACAAAATATAAACTGAAAAAGAAAATTTCAATAAGCAATCGTTATCTCTTAACTATAACCGGTATTTTGATGACTCTAAGTAAAAAAATGAATTTGTCATTGTAATATTCAGATTTTATAAAGGAAACTTAGAAATTTTGAAAAATATTTTAGAAAGATATACATTGTTTATTTATAAATTTATTTATTTGATAGAGCGCCATACATATTAGGTGTGGGAAAAAGTTCGTGGCGTTTTTTTAATGCCATTTAATGGGAAAAACGCCACAAACTTTTTCCCATACCTAATATTTCGATATAATTCCAGTTATATAAATATTTTATAGGATATCTTGGGCGCGATATTTATTATGGTCTGTGGATATTAAATTCCAAGATATATTATTTATTCTCAATAAAAATAGTTTTTGTTTTATCTATAGGTTAAACAAGGACGCCATCGTATAAATCGCGGGCTAAGTGCACGATGTAATCGTAGCCATTCATTTTAAAGATTTCTGTTTTCTCTTGTAGGTTTTTCAAGCTATAAGTGATAAGATAATACAGAATAAAAATGGATACGAAAAAAAACATTCGTAATTATATTAAAAAAATATTTATTCAAATGGAATGAAAAAATATTTATTCGTTTCTTAACGAATAAAAAAGAAATATATTTGCATGAATATTATCATTCATTTTTTGTTCATTTATTCGAATATTAGATGTATTCATCGGACATATTATGTCATCAATCGACAAGAGAATCGGAACTTTTAGATTTTCGGAAGTTTATCCAAATTTCCTATACACATATCACATGAGGAATTTTTTACTTTTATTTTATTAATATTAATATTAATACTAATATTAATATTAATATTAATACTTCAAAGATTATAATATAGATTATAATATAGTGCGGATAAAATTTTTTTTCGGAAAATGATTAAAAGGTTTCTTTTCTAATATTTTACATATGTAGTTTATTACTATATGTATATGTAACTGTTTTTAAAGTTCAATTATTTTCGCATTACAATGTCACACAAATTAATTAAATTGTTTGTTATACATTTCGTAATTAAATTTTAATTTCTACATGGAAAAAAATTATTTTGCATTAAAAATTTAGCTAAATACAAATCTAAAAATAATTTGTTGGAGTATAAAAAAATTATATATAAGATATCAAGTGTAATAATGCTATAAAAAGTTTTGACATTCTGACAATCAGCTTGATCTATATAATTATTTTGACCGTTTAATATTATTTTAATTCTGATCTATGTATCTCGTTAAATTTTTAAAGCCCGACCATTCTTTCCGTGATAATAAATATCAAAATAACTTTCCGAGTACTTTTGAAATTAAAATTTAACTTCGCTTTCGTTTTTAACTCGAGTAGCATCACTAGTCTTAACTCCTTCATTAATTTCATCTAGAGTAACTACGGTGTATATACGACGCGCGAGGATTTACGCCGTAGAAGTTAGAAAAAACAGAGAGAATGAGAGTAATTTTCTTGCAATTGCAATAAGCCTTTATATTATATTAATATTATGTTATGATTTCAATTTTTTTTACTATTAATATTAATAAAATTATCGTGAGTTGAATCGATTTGTCACTTTAATAAATAGCGCCATCATTAATTATAATCTATATAAAATGATTACTGTAGGACATGCAAAAGACATAGTGGTTATTTCGTGATACATGAGAGGAATAAAGCATATTGTAACGAAATACAAGTGCTTTACTCTTGTATTCTTTGTTTAGTTGTCTTGTATGTCCTATTTGGAACATGCAGCATTTTTAGCGAGCGAGATTTATGCCCAAAGTATGTATACAAAGTATGTATACAAAGTGCGTAGATTAAATTCAGTGCACTAAATGCAATAAACGCATTACGTAAAATATGTAATATCATAACACTCGTAATATATAAAAAATTATAATCATTATCTTTGTATTATTATTTCATATTTATCATTTTTATTCCTTAATAAAATTTTGCAAACATATTTTATAAGTTATTATTTTATGTCTTACTTATACAAGTATTATTTGTAAATTTTTCATGAGCTATACATTTTACCTCTTCTATGAGTTTACATTTTCCTCTCTCTATGAACCCACTTCTATAAAATATATGTATACAGCAAAAATGAAAGACTGACAAAAAAGTCAAAACGTCCGAAAAGTTTTAAATATATTAAAATTTAGCTCGTAGTTTTTATTGTTGATTAATGTTTATTATGTTTAAAAATCTAAGAGTAAGAGAGAGAGAGAGTTTCAAAAAATTCTTTTTTTTAATACGAAAAATAAGTATTATAGATTTTTTTTTCTATAGACAGTACAAAGTTTTACTGGTATAATTCATTTATTTTAAACATAGTAAATAATTAATAAATTAAGTTTTTGTTAGATGCGGCGTATATACCGGAGTTATCTTATTTATGAATGTCTAAGTTTGATAATTAAGCTGATATCATATAAAACTAATGAAATTATTATGTTGTAGGAGAATTGATAATATTTTATCCAAGTGCTTATTCAACATTTAATTTAAATTTTGTTTAAGCATTTCCATTTGGTTTATTGAAGAAATTACATTTAAAATCGTTAAAAACGATTTATTTAAGAAATACGAGAAGATGTTTGTTAGGAATTATTTTTTATGTGATATTACGGATTTTGCGATGAGAGATTCTCATTACAGCTATGTGCCCTAAAAAAAGAGCTAAGGCCTTCTGTAATGCCGATTTATGCCAGTCGACCGGCGGTTCAAAGAACTATGTCCCAAGGTACCGGAAGTTTGTACAGCACATTCCATTCATACAGTGTCGGTGCTCACAGTTCCGGCGGCTTCGCTCCCGGATTACGCGATATCTCGGAGGGCTCTATTGAAATGCAGAAAGTTAAGAAGGTTCAAAGCTTTTTCAGGGGTTGGCTGTGCCGACGACGTTGGAAGCAAATTGTTGAACAGTACATCAAGAGTCCACATGCCGAGAGCATGCGCAAACGGAACAGGTAATTGTTGCTGCTTTATCGCATAAAACCAATGATGTCCAACTAGTTTGCGCATTTCGCTTTTCCATTAATGGCTTGTCATGTCACCGCGCTTGTCATTTCAGTTACGTTTTGCGTGGCTACGGAAATAAACGTCATAAGTGAGTTTGAATATAATTTTCAAAAAAAAAGACCAAAAGATGTTAAGTAGCATAGGTTTTTTTTATTAAATAAAATTATGTACTCTTATGTGATTGCTATATATATAATGAATAGACTTATATATTATTTTTATTCCGCGGCTGAATAAAATCATTCTCTCGCTTGCCGAGAGATTTTCGCTTAATCATACCATTCCTATATTTTATTTATTTGCGATGTAATGTCGACAGTTATTGGCTTTATTTAATTTGCATTACCAATGGTATTAAACGTATATCCTACTATTTTAGCCTGGTATTCCAAATGGTGGAGGCCGAGGAGGAGTATACGGAGCAGATGGAGATTTTAGTAAGCTGTTTTCTGAGGCCTTTCAAGATGGCTGCCAGTTCAAAGAAACCCCCATGTAGTCACGAGGATGTGAATAGCATATTTTTGAATAGCGAAACCGTGCTGTTTCTCCATCAAATCTTCCTGAAGGGTCTCACCTCGCGTATGGAGAGCTGGCCCACTTTAGTTTTAGGTATGGATATATTTAAAACTATTTTAAGTGATATAAATCAATATATTGACAAACAGAAATGTGTGTCAATATATTGATTTATCATTTAATATATATATATCACTTAAACAGAAATGTGTGAATTGTAATATATAATGTTGCGATTTATTTTTATTGTTCGCGATATACAATTGAATTTTTAATTACAAAATCGCATACGATTTTAAATCTCATGTGATTAAGTTTACATGCGATTTAAAATTGTAAATACAGCTGAAAATCACTTTTGTAATATTTATTTATTAAATATTTATACATATAGAAAAATGAAAAATAAAAATTTTATCTCTTTATTAATTATCTCATTACACGATTTACACAGAAAGAACGGTTTTGCTGAAATATTAACAAATTTAGCTAGATATAAATCTGAAAATAATTTTTGTTGAATCATCAAAATAATTATGAATACTTAAAAGCATTGATGACAATGCTACGAAAGATTTTGACATTTTAGTCAACAATTTGAGTATCTTACATAATTAATAATTATTTTGGTTCAAACAAAATTATTTTCAGATCCATATCTAAATTTTTAGATACATACTTTAGCAACATATTATTTCTTTTGTATGAATACTGAACGTACTTTTGCTTCCGATTAATATATTAAATGGTTTAATTTTTAATACCAAATATGGTCCAATTAACCTATTTAAAATTTGTTTTTCTTTATTATTAATTCGTGAAATTTTTTTATATAGTGAATAAACATTTATATATGCTTATACGTAATTTAATATTTAAAATATAAAATAAAAATCTCGTTGCGCAGTATATATGTAAGTATATATTATATTCACTGCGATTCTTAAGAAAAATCACAATTGCGATGTACAATTTTGTAAATTTCATAAAAAAAATATTACGGTTACCACAACCGTGATAAATAATAATAATTTTCGTCCATCACATGGTTGTAATAACTGTAAGATGGATATATCTTTACAGCCATTGAGCATGCAAATCTTACGGTTATCACAATCGTACTATAATTCTTATAATCAAAAAATATATTGATGGGCGACTTTTTGGCCGTCGCAACCGTAACCGTTTTTTCCCATGCTCTAACAAATCCATGTCTATAAAGGTGAATCGAAGAGACGCAAGAATTTCGCGAGTTTAAGTATCTAAAAATTTTCCCTCTAACAATATTAATTTATGAGAGTATATTATCTTACGTAAGAAAGAATAATGTGGATAGAGGTTGTATATCGATCAATCACGGCATATTGTGAATACATGCAGGTGACTTGTTTGACATGTTGCTACCGATGTTATCCATATATCAAGAGTACGTGAGAAACCACCACTATAGCCTTCAAGTGTTGACTGAGTGCAAGCAATCGTCACCGTTCGTGGCGTTGCTCAATAGGTTGGAGAACAAGACTGCCTGCCACGGACGATCCTTGGAGATCTTTCTAACATATCCCATGCATCAGGTAAGATTGCTACATGCAGATAAAATCGATGTTATACGTGAAGCATAGAAGCTCGACACAAGTGTTTCGGAAAATTCAATAGTATCGTTATATTATTATCGTTACGAAGGAAAGAGAAAGGAACATCATCAATAATGTTTCATCCGTGCGACATTATTTTCTTTGCACTGTTCTTTTCTCAAGAAAGCAAATTCCTGCACGAAAAATAAAATAAAAAAATATAACGATTATCTCAATGATGCGAATGTCTCTTTGGGAATGATCGATTGTATGAAATAGTTTGAAAGCTTCCATGAATATTGCATGAGAGCTGACGATCCTATAAAATGAATGAAGTTCGACGGATGAGAAAAATATACATTCCATCGCGCACTTCCGCAAATTCCGCGGAATGCAGAAAATTCCTTTGAAGAGAATTTATTGGCCAAATATAATTTACATCTAATTTAAATATAGCAAGATCTTTTTACTGCTGTAATTTATATTAGACTACTAATTAATTTCTGATTTGTGTGTATCTCTATTCTTGGACATTGCAATTTCAAATTTATTTGACAAGTTTTGCGTTACAATTATTCTCCTAATTTTCTCTTTTTCTCTCTAATTTTAGTAGAACTTGAGCAAAAGTTGTTTTTTTTTATCCAGTTACTTATTTTATTCGTTTAGATTCCAAGATATATAATTACTTTGCACGAGTTATTGGCACATACGCCATATGATCATGTGGAACGTAAGAGCCTTCAGAATGCCAGGCAACAACTAGAGGATCTCTCGAGGCAAATGCATGATGAGGTATTTGTCAATTTATTTCATATAAGCTCATATCTTACCTTAACTTTAAATATTAATTGAATATATTTACTTAATATATTAATCGATTATGTCCTATTTTCCAGGTGAGCGAAACTGAAAATCTAAGAAAAAATCTAGCAGTGGAGCGTATGATTGTCGAAGGATGCGATATTTTACTGGACGTCAATCAAGTCTTTGTTAGACAGGGTGAGTAAAATGAGAGATCAATACTCTCTTTCATAATTTAAATATACTTTGGATTCATATCTTTTTAAGTAAAGCTTATTTCAAGTATACATTCAGATACCACAATTACACATTCTAAAAATGTTCTAATGAATATTTTCTGGGAATTTTGGAATATTTTCGAAAGATTCGTATAAAGTATAAGGGGATGATCTAGGAATATTTATAACATTTTCAATTGTAGCTATTTTCATAATTTTAGAAAAGTCCATAGAATTTCCATCAATTATTATTATAGATAAGGGGGAAAGTTATTATAAAATATTCTGAGAAAACTTTATAATAACTTTCTTATTTATATAATTACGAAAAGAGTTCTCAACATTAAACATACTACAAATATTCCTAGAACGCCTTTTACACTTATCCATATTTTTTGAGAATATGTAAAATTCCTGGAAAATATTTGTAGAACGTTTTTAGAATGTAATTGTGTTATCTGGATAAAAATATTTAAATACTGTGTAATTAAAATGTCGTAATAGATTTGTGTAAAAATTAAAATTATTTCATGTTCTAGCGATAACACATATTATCATTTTTCATTCTAATCATCTTCAAATAGAATTTAACAAATTATAATCACAATTCAGAAATTGTATTTTGTTCATATACATATAAAAGATAATTTTTTGCATATAGAAAGAAGTTGAAGAGCCCAAGCAAAACAACAAGTAATGTCAAAATGACATTAAAATGAATCGAAAATAATTGAAAAATAACTTTTAATGATTATTTTGGAGTCATTTTGATATCATAATGACTTGTTCTGTGAGAATTAACATACTTTGTCGATGTCGATAAAACTGAGGCTGTAGTTCGCATCTTTTACTGTTTATCCTTGGCTGAGAAACTCATTTCTAGACTTGATCGCTGTCGGTAAAGCTCGACGGACTTCTCCATCGTAAGAGATGGAACGTGGGTTAAAAGGCGCAATCGCATAGTTACACGTTCGAAATCGATGACGCGACTTAGTCGCGTCGATATATATTTTCGTATTCGGTTTCATCTCGATCCTGCGCAATGTGTCCTGCCAGGGGCGACGTACTGTTCTACTATTAGCGGGTTCTCATCAAGTAAATAATTCTTATGTTAATCGATTACATGGCTCGATAGCAAATTACGAGATAGTGGCACGCAAGCGGAATGTCATACGTTAGAGAAATTGTAACTTTATCAGTTGTTTTAAATTCGATCGCGATAAAAAGATTCTTTTGACATTTAATTACGATTTTAAGTATTAAAGAATATTTAAAATTTAATTTTAATATTCAATTTAAATCTTAAAAATATTATTAAGAATATCAAATAATGATCTGAGTATCACGCGAAAAGAGGCTCTTAAAATTGAAGTTAATTATATTTGCAAGGAATTGTATTTATATTAAAATATTAATATTATTGTTAACGAAAAAAGGAGAATATTTCAAAAAATGAAGCTGAAACATCGCATACTTTCTAAGAGTAGCAAATGATAAAGTAGCACAAGACCATTTCAAGTAGTAAAAATCTCACAAGCCAGCCTTATAAACACGATCCTGGCAATCCTCGTGCTTGACGCCACATCACATGGTTATCACGTAAACGTCTCTCGCGCTCTCGCCGACGGCAGGGCAAAGACCATCTCGCGAATGTGATCACCTCTCGTTCGTTTTTCGTCACAGCAAAAAGATCAGACGGTGCGAACATCACATTCCGTTTGAGGGTGATGAGGACTAAGATTTGTTCGAAATCTGTTTCTGTGTGTGAGACAATATTCAGCAATATTGCGAGGCTAGAGGTCGAACGAACGAAAGAACGAAACAAGCCGCAACCAATTCGTGGCATTGCCATTTTGTTGGTCTATCAATCTGGCATGGTTACACACTGGATCATGGATGTTTCGCGAGTTCGTTAACATAGCCGCGAGATAGATGGGACCAAGCAATGTGTGTGATATGATAGGGACCAAGGATATTCGGGAGCTTAAGAATCAGCAATAGCTTTTTATCTGGATAAGTCTGCAGGTACACACGTTGTTTTTCGTTCAATAATGTTAAAGGGAAATCTCGATTGAAATCTTCAAAAAATGAATAATAAATAATAATTCTCCATAAGAAAATGGATATGTAAAATACACATGATATCAGATGAAATTATTTTCTTCAAGGAAAAGTTGATTCAAAAGTTTCTATTTTGTTTGATTTATCTGTAGAAATATAAGTATGCAATGTTTCTTTCTAAATAAAAAAAAAAAATGTGAACTATATCTAATTTCAATTGATCTGATTGAGTTAGACATTGAAGCTGTTTTCTAAAATTCTCATCGAAGCTTTTGTTTAATTTTATCTGCTTTCTTCACTTGGAGAAAAATTAATCTGATGAAAGAATCTCAGCGAGTTTAAATTTCGATTCACAGTTTCAAAAATATGCTTCTCATTATTGAGAATATTTAGGGTGCGCGTTTCACTTGATACTCACACTCGCAAATATTATTTGTTTTTGTTTAATATTTGATAAACAACAAAGATGAAATGATTTTATGAATGCTGCGAGCATTAAATGAAAAGAAATCCTTAATATCAAGAGCTGAATGAAATAAATTTCAATTTCTGTATGACGTCAGCAGCAGAGACCTGATACTGTGTATTTCGTATTCGCCGCGGCAACACGTCCAACGTGCTATTTTTAAATGAGCATTGGCGGCTTCCCCTAATTGTATTGATTATTTCAAGGAAACTCGAACACGTCAGGAAGACGAAATTATTTTTATCAAGCATTATTTTCTCCGACGAGGACTTTATTTATTCGTGTGATGTTAATAATAATTGTATAAATATCTGATCGACTTTACATAAATCTGATCTAATTGTCTCACTGGCTTCTTTCAGGTACACTCATACAACTCGTAGATAAACCGCGTGGTGCGCGAAGTAGATTGAGCGCTACTTTTGGCGGCAAAGCCGCGAGCGACAGGGAGGCTGTTAGACAGTGTTTTCTTTTCTCGAATCATCTGTTGCTCACAACGCGACAGTCCGATGATGATGGCCGCTTAAATCTGGTTGCACAGATTGGCAAGATACCCCTTTCCGATGCGGTGCTGATTGAAGATCCGAGTGACCAGGGCGCCATAGATGATGATGGTATGATTAATTAATGAATTAATGACTTGATTTGCTTTCTTTGAAATCTTCTTAAATCGGCAATACAGAAATGTTTAATTAAAAACTGATAATATGTTCAATCAATGTAAGGGAGAGTGGAGTAATGACGAAATACCTAAAGAGAAAATGAAATAAAACAAAAGCCAAGAAATGTTTTTTAATTGCCTATAATTATACACTATTTGTTTATTTACGTCTATTGTCATTTTTTATTAGATTTGAACATGAAATAAATTTTTAATAACAAAACAAACCTCTTGCTGTTTGTAATTTTTCGACTAGGTATCATAGAATAATCACGATTAGAGTACTAATTATCACAAAAGTCATCTTCTAATCTTTTTTTTCTTTTTTTCTTTTCTTTCTTTTTTCTCTTCTTTGGTACTTTATCTTTGGTACTATATCTTTTTTATTTGGTCACCCTCTTAAAATTTTTTTATGATTTTTTGTGATGTTATTACTCAATTGAAAGCATGTTTCTTTCATCTTTTGACAAATGAAATTTTGAATTTTTATTTACAATTTGCGTAAGGTCAAGACTGTGTGTTTTATTGAGTCATTTACATAACAGATATTTGTGAAAATAGAAAGGAATTAATGGCGATCGTTAGGGATTGTCTCATCCAATTCGTTCGTCATTATCCCCCGTCATAAGAATAACAAAATATAATTTTTTTTAGAGATTAGATCGAAGCTATAGATAAAATATATTGATTATAAAAAATATTGTTTGATTTGAGCTTATTTTATTTTTAGCGTAACTCATTTGTATCATTTACACAACAATAATTGTATGCAGTTTCATTTAGCAAAAAAATTATTTGAAAAAGGACCGAAAAATTCAATTATATTTACCTTGAATTCTATGCGCAACCTTATTCTGCCACTATCTAACACTTTGTGACAACTGAGTTGTCGATAAATGAAGAAATAAGATTTGTTTTTAATATATCGATATTATTGTATCTGCCATTATTCCGCATTTGTCATTACTCCATTCTCCCGTATTAAGATTATAAAAAGAACATACACGCTATTAATTACTTAAATTATTTTGTACACAATGTAAACTTTCTTCTCATTTTGCTATATTTATATCCAATTTCATGTATTTTTTAAATATAAAGGTGTATTGCAAGTTGTGTCAAATGGTAGAGAATTTATTCAGTGCTACCAAGTAGCAACTGTAAACTAATTTTAGGACTGTCAGTATGTTCGATGTCAAGCGGCATCAGTGAAAGTAGCGGAAGTGGTAGCGGCAGTGGAACCTCCCAGTTGCAGAATCGCGATTTCAAGATTGTACTTGATATAAAATCCGGTGGACCGCAGGTGATCGTCCATCTCGTGGCGCCTACCATGCAAGTAAGTTTAAATTATACATAAAATTGTATTAAAACAACAATCTTGTTATATAGGATATTATATAGGATACTCATACACGGAAAGAATTATCTTATTGAAGTATCTAAAAATTTATTTAGACACAGAACTTTGAAAATAATCAGAGTTGAGAATTAATTACTTGTAACGTCGTGATAATTACTTTTTTTCTATAACAAATAATGATGTTATATTTTCTTATTTGTAACATTAACACGATTATATATTTTTTCTGTAATGATAACGAATATAATTGTTATTTTATACACGTACAATACATATATATGGAATGTGTTTAAGCAAATTTCAAGAGAAGAAAACATAACAGCACTATGTGTTGTTTGAGTAACCATATTATCATAACTATTATATAGATCTCATATTGAGTTGGCCAATTAGTGACCAAAACAATTTCTCTGAAAAAAGGATACTCAACATTCGATAAAAAAGTAAATAAGAAATTGTACAACTCATTCCTTTTTTTGAATACAACAGTAATAGATACAAGTTTCTTCTCGAAATCAGTAATGAGTGGTTATTCTTGTTTCTGAAATCATTACTTGTTCAATGAGTTATTTTTACAAAGTAATTTTCTCCCTGAAAATAATTTTGTTGAATTAAAATTACATAGAACGTTTTAAGTGTGTTGCTAACAATGCTGGAAAAAGGTTTAAGATTCTAGCAATTAGTTTTTGAGCGTCCTACATAATTATTTTGATGTTCTAAATAAAATTATTTTTACGATACGAATTTGAGTCGATAAAATAGATCTAATAAGAATAAATCTAATTAAATAACAGAAATACTATTTAGTCAAAGTGGATCTTAGTGTTTAAATAATTCTGTGTGAATTTATGACGCATATATACTGGTTCTGCAAATCACGCGTCAAAATCTTTTTTGATATTGAAATGTTATCATGAGCAGAATCAGAATAGTAATATCATTTATTAAATTTGTTAAGTATGGAATGGTGCAGGCAACACACAAAAGACCGTGTTATTCGTATATTAGTATCTGACAAGCCTTTATTAATAATAATAGTAATGTCACAAAATAATTATAATAACGGAAAGCGTATAAAAATGGGAACGTTAATGAAAAAGGCAAGAACATATTATAATATCCATTAAAAAAGGCAGAGAGAAGTTAATAAGTATGAAGACAGAGAAATTAGTAAGTGAATAAGTAAAACATAGAGCAAGCAGAAGCTAGAGAGCGTGTTGCAATAAAAGAGCAGTTCATTAATTCGCGGACATTTGGAACGCGAGTGCTTAAAAGTACACTGAACATTCTCAACACTCTCCCTGTTCGAGTGCTTTTATGTATCTATACATTCCTATTGCATTTAACAATGTAACGAATTTTTCTTTTGGGAGAGCTTTCGTAAGAAAATCTGCATACTATTCTTCCGATTTAACATATTTTATGCACAATTTGTCTTGAATAAGTTTTTCTCTAATAAAATGAAAGTGTATGTCTATATGTTTAATTCTTTGATGAAATTCTGAGTTCTTAACTAGCTTTATCGTGCTTTAATTATCAATAGATCAGTTGCCTTATTGCTAGAATTATGAATATCATCATTTGAAAGTTTTCATTTAATTACATATTCAGCTTCAGTCATACTCAAAGAGACCAATTTTTATCGTTGTGAACATCAAGAAATGGGACTATTTGAGAGCATAAAAATATATTCCCATGTAGAATGTCGGATGACTAGATCCCTAGCATCCAAGTAAGCGAGTAGGACTGCTTTTACATTAGTTTTTCTATAACTCCCTAGTTCAGTAATTTGAAGATATCTGAATATATTTAACAGCGCTCCAATATGCATGGGTATAGTATGTGAGATAACGGTTTAAAGCGTTTACGGCGAATGCTATATTTGGACGTATTAATCAGACACACCAAAGAGCTGATTGCCTCACGATAGGGATACTCTTCATTTCCAGTACCTTTGTCATTCATAATTGAGGCAATTAAATGAGGAGTTATTGACATATTACACTAACAGTTTTCGCTTTTCTCATATTAAAACGAGCAATGCTACGATCAATATATGGTCGTTCTTCTGCTATATAAAATAGTGATTCTCCTTATCATGCTCAATTTGAATCCCAATAAACTTTGGACTACATACAGTAATGTCGAAACTACTTTTCAGTGCCTTCCACAATTTCATTGAGCGCGAGATTCTCTGTTTCCGCGAATATCATATCATCGTCGATGTATAAGCCTGACCCTCCGGAACATCCATATCTATTTCTTCTTGTAATTTGCATAAAGAAAGGTGGTCTTTACGTCAAATTGTGTCATCTGTAAATCATGTTCCGCTGCTGTGGTTAGGAGAGTGTACGGATTGACTCATACCTTACTACAGGAGCAAATATTTCCTCATAGTCTCTTGCGGTCTTTTTGGGTAAAATCTTTTGCACAAAATCGAGTCTTGTGTCGTAGCTGATTTCCATCTGACGATTCCTTCACCTTAAAGATCCATTTATATCCGACTGTTCTATTAGAGGCTCCAAATGTGATTCTTGACATGAGTATCAAGTTCCTTTCTGAGAGCTTCTTTCCACTTTTTGGTGTACGATCCTGTGACAGCTTCCTCGTAAGTCAACGATTTTCTCAACTCGGTGAAATTTGTCTTGTATTTTTCTGGTTTCCTTATTAGCGCTCTGTCTCTGAGATTATGATGAGGTTCTTCTCGCTCTGAATCATTGTCATCCTCATATAGTATCTTCGTTGTTTCTTCGCCTTCTAACTTCTCAACACCTCTTATCAGGTGTATAAGCTTAAATCCGCTGTTTGCTCATAGGTGGCATTAGTGAGCGTACAAAGCTATCCTGGGCACACAATACACTTTTTTTTATGTGTTTGACATCTGTCAACATTAACTAGTGCACATCATCAGCAATTTCATACAACAACATACATTTTTTCTTTCGTAATCATGTCTAATTTTTTGCTAAAAAAAGCATATGCGGAAAGCAAAGCTTTTCTGTTTCAATTTGAAGAAATCGGCTGCCGAATCGCATCGAATGCTTGTGGAGGCCTATGGCGACAATGCTTTATCGGAAACAACATGCAGAGATTGGTTTCATGGACGCCGGTTCAATAACGACAATTTTGATCTGAGGGACAAGAAGCGTGAAAATCGGTCCAGAAAGATTGAGGACTGTCAATTGCAGGCTCTTTTGAACGAGAACGATATCCAATCGCAAAAAATGCTTGTCGAGCAATTGGGTGTTTCTCAAATAGCATTTCCATGCGGCTACATGCCACGGGGAAGGTTCAAAAGATCGGAAAATGGGTGCTGCATGAACTGAACGATAGGCAGATGGAGCGACGCCAAAACACATGCCAAATTCTGCTTGCCAGACAAAAAAGAAAGTCGTTCCTGCATCGGATTGTGACAGGCGATGAAAAGTGGATCTATTTTCAGAATCCTAAACGCAAGAAATCTTGGGTTGATCCCGCCCAACCATCAACATCTTTCTCAAGACCAAATCGCTTCGGATGGAAGACGATGCTGTGCGTTTGGTGGGATCAGGAGGGTGTCATCTACTACGAGCTATTAAAACCTGATGAATCTGTTAATGCTCATCGCTACCACCAACAACTGATCAAATTGCACCGTGCTCTGCGTGAAAAAAGGCCGCATTATCGGAAAAGACATGACAAGCTGATTTTCCTCCACAACGCACCATCGCACACGTCAACAATGGTCCAAAACTACTTGGGGACACTCAACTTGGAAGTGCCATCCCATTCCGCTTATTCACCAGACCTGGCACCTTCTGACTATCACCTGTTTTCGTCGATGAGCCACGCGTTCGCTGAGTGGCACTTCAATTCTTAGAAAGAAAGTTCGAAAATGGCTTGATGAGTGATTTGCCTCGAAAGATGAGGAATTTTTTTGGTATACACAAATTGCCCGAAAGATGAGAAAAATGTATAGTTAGCGAAGGCAAGTACTTTGAATAAATTTGTTTTTGCTTCCTAGGAAAAAAAATGTGTTTTTCTGACTAAAAAACAGCGGATTTAAGCTTATACACCTGGTAAACCATCGGTTTTCTTTTATTGAATATTGTTAGTTTTGTTTTCTCTCTCTGGATCAGAAGTGTAGAGAGGTAGAGTCATTTCATTCTCGTTCGAAATACCCGTGTGCTCGGATTTCTCATAAATTTAAATGTGACGTCACGGAATATTTTGATTGTGCCTATTTCAATATTATAGAAGCGATAATTGGCTGATATCCAATTGATTCTGTTTGATATCCAACGAACATCATACTTTTTTTATTTTGCCTCCCATTTTCTTCGCTGTACATAGACCTCACATTCAAAGGTTTTGAAATAGTCCTTTGTCTGTTTTCTAGTTCATAATTCGTATGGGATTCGAGCATCTTTGAGATAACGGAGTTCGATTATATATATATGTACGGCCGTGTTTATGGCTTCGGCCCACAATCGAAATGGTAGCTCTTTGGCATATAACATTGATATGAGCCTTCTCTAATAGTATTCTATTGTGCCTTTCTGAACAGCCATTTTGTTGGCGTATAAGGGACTGTCATCTCCAACTGGACTTCTTGAAACATCAAGAAGGATTTCATATTGTTGATGTTTTCCTTTCCATTATCCATCCTAATAGCTTTGATTGATCGATTGAACTTGTTCGTTACAAGAGCATAATATTCTTTAAATTTCTCGAAGACGTCCGATTTATGTCGAAGGAAGTATGTATGTGTAAAACTTGATGCATCATCTTTGAAAATGATGTAGAAACGCGATGTCCTTCTCTATTGACTCGTTCTGCATGAGCCCACATCCGTGTAAATAAGTTTTTCTAGCATTATGTCTCTAGATTCTGTATTCTTGAACGAGCGTCTGTGCTGCTTTCCCATTTGATCACAAAATAATTTAGTATCTTTAAAGATTCTTCCAAGATTCAGGAACCCTTGCTTGTTCATCTCGAGAAGCAACTTTAAACTCACGTGACCAAGATGTTCATGTCATAAACGTAGATTTGAGGCGGCAATTACGTTTGCTTCTCTTTACAGGTTTGAAACAACATGCGATAAAATTTACCTCAGGAGATACTCCAAAAGCCATGAATATTCTATTCTGACTGATTGTGATGTGGCATTAAAGATAACTTGATGTCCTTTCTTTGTGCAGGCACGCACGGAGAATAGATTTCTGTTGAGGGACAGTACATAAAGTGCATTACGAAGTCTTCCGTCAATCATTGATTGTCAATTTTTTGCTTCATGTTAATTATTCCACGTCCCTTAACTTGGCATATAGTTCTATTACCTATTGCAACAGAATCATTTACTTCTTGAAAATCGTGGAACCAGTCATGACGGAAAGATATATGTTTTGATGCTCCACTGTCCAAGAGTCCTTTAGATTAACTGTCCTTGTATCATCTGTCTCTGCTATAAATGCGCCATGATTTTCATCTTGTCCTTGTAGTTTGTGAGTCGTAGAGTTTTGAGATTGAATTCTTTTTTGGCAATATTTTAAAACGTGGCCTTTCTTATAACAGTAGAAACTACGTCCTTTTTCTTATAGTCGAATGATTTAGGATTATCCTTTTTATCGTGGGATATGCGGCTTACTTACGCGTTCACGACTGTTAAAGCACTCGTTGCATCATCCATCGCTGTCATCCAGCTCTCTTCCTTCCATCAGATTTTCTAGAGTTTGCATCCACGCTATCCCAAGCTACCTCGTTACAAATGCATTATACTTGAATGGCGAACTACCATGAATTTTGACCATAATAGTTATGTCTGAAATATTTTCGTTCAGATCTGTCAATTGTCTGGTCATATTTTCTACCTTTGCAATATGCTTCGCGATCATCCGCCGACATCCTATAATTGTGAAATTTGGTCATCAAGATTAATTTACTAGATTCACTACATTGTTCATATAAAACGAGGAATTTCTTCCACATATCGTTTGACGAACCTTGCATATTAGGAGAGGCTCAAGTTGTCCAGCAGGCCTATTCTGTAACTCTCAACGTAAATTTTGTTATCATTATAACGCTGCTGCGCAATTTTTTCATCATGGTAAAAAAGCTGCGTAACGATGTTATAATGATGACGAAATTTGCGTTAAAAGTTACAGAATAAGTCTGCAGGATCCATCGTAGACGACAAAATAAACATAGCCTTTTTTCATCCAAATTTTCTTTACCGCTTCTTTCGTGGCATTCTTCCGATTGCTTCGGAATTGCCAGTTATTATGTCCAGGATATCGTTTGATATGAATATCGCATTCATCTGAATTTCCATGCTTGGAAGTTTGCATCGCTGAATTTTGTGATCTACGAATTCACTCATCTTGTCCTCTTTATAATAATGAGCATCAGAAAGAAAACACAGTCTTCACGCACTGAATTTCTGCACGTGTCCTGAGCCCATAATCTGTTAAGTGTGAAAGTTTGATGTCTATCGCAGGCAACACATAAAAGATCGCGTGGTTATTCGTATCTCACAAGTCTTTATTAATAATAATACAGTAATGTCACAAAATAATTATAATAACGAAAAGCATACGAAAGCGGGCATGTAACATAAGAAGAAAGGGGGATATCGTCTATTAAAGAAGGCAAAGAGAAGTTAGTAATAGCGTTTTTCACTGGAAAACTGATGCAACACTGGTGCGCACTGAGTGCAATTGTGTTGTTCCACTGTGGAAACTAGAGTTCAGTATTTAATGTTCTATTGATAAAACTGGTGAAAAAAACTTGTACTGAGTTCAACTTTTGTTTCACTGTTCTTCGAAGTCAGTGGAGACCAGTGCAATGTTGAAATTGAGATTCGTGCTATGATATTATATTATATTATAATATAATATTACATTATTATATAATTAATGTTATAAGAAATTGACATTGTTCAATGTTTCTAATAATAGCTATGCAATGACATTTTGACGTTTAAAAACTCTTGTAATGTTAAAATTTAATTTAAAAAGAAGATTTTAAATAAATAAATGAATCAGAATATTGTAAAATAAGTAATTTAAATTTGAATATAGTTAATATATATTTTTAAAGGTGTTATAAAATGGATGTCTAATTATATGTTCCATTAAACTGCACACTAAACCTACATTATTACTGCACTAGTGCAGTTTTCATCTAAAGTACAGCGCCAGTTTTGTTGGTGCGCACCAATTTTCCCAGTGCGAAAATGCTATAATAGTCTATAGTAGCAAAATATGTAAGTGAATAAGTAAAACATAGAGCAAGCAGAAGATAGAAAGCGTGTTGCAATAAGAGAACAATTTATTGGTTTGCGGACATTTGGAATGCGAGTGCTTAAAAGTGCGCTAAACATTCTCAACAAAATTAACGAGCAATTTAATAATTTTTAATGCATCTTCATAAAAATATTATTATAATAATTTGATATTAATGAGAATTTTAAATCTGCAAATAATTTATTGTACAAAATATTGCCAGAAATCTGCTTTGACCGGATATAAGATTTCTCTTATTTAATTAAAATTATTTTTAGATCTGTATTTATTTTTATTTTAGATCTGTATTTAGATCAATTTTGAAATATTTATATATAATAAATTTCAGCAAGATCATTTTTTTTTGTTAGCTATCTCTTGACGAATAAAAAATTTTTATTTATACGCGTGTATAATCGATGTAAAGCGTATACTTTAAAGTTGTACTTCATATTTGACTGAAACGATTACAAATAAAAATAATAAAATTACGAAGTTTACAAATTTTTGCTTTTGTTATTATGTACCTACTATATACGTATTAATACCTTAAGGTACGGCAAACTTTGACAGGAAAAAGCAGCGTGGGTTAGTGACATAAGTCAATGTATGGACAACGTTCACTTTAACGATCTGCTTCATGGATCGTTGTCGGACACCAGCTCCGTCACGATGCCACAATCCATCCGGAACGACCCAAAGCTGTTTAAGGACGACGTGGATATCAGATTCAGTCGTACTTTGAACTCCTGCAAAATACCGCAGATCCGTTCCGCGACGCCCGAGCGACTATTACAGCGATTGACCGACCTCAGGTTTCTTAGTATTGATTTTCTCAACACATTTCTGTTGACATATCGAGTATTCACCGACGGCGTCACAGTGCTGGAAGCCTTAAAAAAAGTTTTTTATGAAGCCGAGCCACCGGACGCACAAATAACCACCGGATCTCTTGTGTAAATATAACGAATCATAACAATTATAAGCTTAAAATTTAATTACAAAATTTCAAGAATTGAATGAAATGTCATAATCATCGATCTATTACAAAAACTCGATAATACAATCTTGACCATAAGTATAAACATCTCCATAAATTGACGTAAACATTTTATATTTAACGAAAAATCGATTAAAAATAGTTTTATTGAAAAGTAACATTTATTTTTATAGCAATTTCGATATTTTATTATTTCTTCTTTGGCTCTTATTATTGTCTCTTCCAATAAATAAAGGATGCTATGTACTTACGGACAAGACTATATGTAATAAAGAAGTTCTTTTATTAATGATGTTATATTGCTATTGTTCCTTCGTAGAAAGTGATTTCTATACATTATTGAAATTATTCTTGGCATATCTGACAATAACATTTTCTGTATTTATGTTTTAGATCCTTAGACGTATTAGGAACAAATGCAAACGAAACGCAATTATATTCCGAGGACCGAAGAAAAAGCTTTTCACCGAGACGAACTAGCGGCGCAAGCTCAGTATCAGGTGTATACATTAATAAAAATCATGGAGAGATAAAAAATGAGCAAATAATTCAGACAAGTAATAAAAAATAGTTTATTAAACATCAAAATTAAAGAAAAAAAAGATTAAAACTAGGTTTTTTCATAAATAATTAATTAAGAACGTTTCGATTTAATTTATTATTAGTCTTTTTGAATTAATTAATAAATTGTAATAGAAAATTAATTTATTTTATCGATTCTGAGGAAAACTAAAAATCGAAACTTACATTCATTATATATTTATTGAAAAACTATTTTAATGTTTTCTTTCTCTGATTTTAATGTTTAATGAATTTTTATTTTTTGACGCAATTGTTTGCTTGTTTCTGACTTTTTCATTTTTATTACATTGCTTAGTAATTTAAAAAAAAAATTGAAAATTGATATTATTGTGCATATATTTGATATATTCTTTTCAACAAAACTCAATATCAAAAATTAATAGATATATATTGCTACTAAACAATATTACTACTAAAACACGAAATACACACACACACACACACACACACGCGCGCGCGCGCACGCACGCACACACGCACGCACGCACGCACGCACGCACTCACTCACTCACTCACTCACTCACTCACTCACTCACTCACTCACTCACTCACTCACTTCCAAAAAAAGAGGTATGTGCCCAAAAAATTTGGGAAAAATTTCAAATCACAACTTGATAAATAATGAAGATAAAAATATGTTTAAAAATGTAAAAAAAAGTTTGAAATGTCTACTTTATAATCAAACTTCACACGGTTCATATTGGAAAGAATTACAATCATAATTTGAGCTAATGACAGTATTTTAAATTTAGGGTAACTCAGCAAAAAATTATCGTATCGAGCTCGATAAAAAAACGATTTAAAGATAAAATTCTTTCACATGCATATTGTCCCATTAGGCTAGAATACATAATTCACACCACGTACTATCGCGAACTTAAACCTTTAATTATCAATTTTGCATTTTC